AGTGTCACTTTTACAGGTGGAAGCCAATAAAGGATGCCCATTTTCCTATTATTTCCCCAAAGGGCCCTTTGCAGCTCTAGACCATTCAAATACACCAGCACGTAGTCTGAAGGCTTTCACTTCCGGTCTTCACTTCTCCACCCCTTCTGACTGGTACTTACCCCCATCATCCCTTACTGCTGGTTCATTCCCCAAGGATTGGAGCTAATTGCTCCCTTCTTCATGGGGTCTTCCTTGAGTCACCGTAACTAGAAGGTGACTTTGAAATGGTTAAAATGTATCTATTTGAAGCAATAAGGTCATTCTAGGAGATGTGCTAACATTATTTACTGAATATGTGAACTTGGACAGATTCCTTCATCTTTAACTTTAGTTTTCTAATCCTTAAGATGGAAGTCACAGTAAGGGCATCAAAGATTTCCTGAAAGAATCAAACAAAATCATCTGTCATAGATGTCATGGTTTCTGAGTTTATGGCCTATCAGAAACTTTATTTCAGACAAAAGATAATTGCTAAAGGGATTGAGACATTTTGTATAATCAAAGCAGAAGCCAAATGGACCAACCTAATTGAAACCTGTTTGTTTCAGCATATGCTTATAAAGCATCTGAAGCTCAAGATGACTAGTTCCTTGAAATAAGGTTTGGTAGCATCAGTGCTTCTAAGGAGCAGCAAGTCAGATATTGCTCCAGAGGTGATAACAAAAGAATTATAATTTGTGCAACAAAATATGACTTCCATCAGATATAATAGGCAAAAACAAATTACTGTTGTTTCTCAAGCTAGAATCTCATTGCTTTTTGCTAGCTTAACTACTTTAGCTAGGTAGTTTTCCTCCAATGACTCAGTGTCTTCTTTGGTTGACACTTGAGATGATGCTTTCTTTTACAAAGACTTTGTTGCTTAGTCGCTAAGTCATGTATGACTTTTTTGCGATCCGATGGACTGTAGCCCACCAGGCATCTCTGTCCATGGGATTTCCCAGACAAGAATACTGGAGTGGGTTGCCATTTCCTCCTACAGGGGATCTTCCCAACCCAGGGATCAAACTCACATCTCCTGCAGTGGCAGACGGATTCTTTACCACTGAGCCACCAGGGAAGCCCTATGAAGCCTTTGTGGAGGACCAAACAAGACTGCATACATGGGATTTCCTAGGACAAGTCCTAGCACAGAGATGCTTAATAAAGTTTGAGCATAACTGTAACTGCCCTGAGCATAATCCAACAGAAAAGCAATGCATAGCCTCTGGCAGTAATTGACCTATTTTATGTTTGGAGAGGAAACCATTTGAATATTACAGCTGCTGCTGCTGGTGGTGGCAGGATTTGTGCCTCTTCCTTTGATGATGAAATTATTAACATGCATTGGTCTTTTATTATAGAAACACTAAAAGTGACATCTTGTATTTGTATAAATCAGAGTTTGCCAATTGCTGGCCCATGGAGATTCAGCCTGCGAGTGTAGTTTATCTTGTCAGCACAGGGCTTTATTGTTAACACGGTGGCCGCGGTTGCTGCTGCTAATTGTTTTTGCTGTTGCTCTTGGCGTTGTCATTGATTTATGGACCAACATTCAAAAATTTTAAAATGGTTTATTAAAAATCTGAATTACTGTCTTCCCTGGAAAAATAGAATGATCTAGCATTACACGGCCAGCATCTCGGCACAGTGGTCATTAACTACTGCTAAGTAGGAACTGTCTGCTGTAGACGATGCAAGAACCTTCCACTCTGCCTCTGTCTCCCTGACTGTGATGCTTTCTCTCTGGATTTAACGATGGTGGTAAACGATCTGTATAATGAGACCTTGCTCCCAGGAGAAACACGGGGTTATGATTCTGACAGCCTCTAGTCATGTTCTCATCACCTGATCAATATATAGCTTGTTTAGGTGTGTTTCTGTTTAAAGGTGTATGTGGAAACACCTAAAATAAGTGTGTATATATATTTGCCTTTATATGGGCTCCCCTGGTAGCTCAGCTGAAATGCAGGAGAGCCCAGTTCAATTCCTGGGTCAGGAAGATCCCCTGGAGAAGAGATAGGCTACCTACTCCAGTATTCTTGGGCTTCCCTGGTGGCTCAGAAGGTAAAGAATTCACTTGCAATGCAGGAAACCTGGGCTCGATCCCTGGGTTGGGAAGATTCCCTGGAAGAGGGCATGACAACCCACTTCAATATTATTGCCTGGAGAATCCCTATGGACAGAGAAGCATGGCAGGCTACAGTCCATGGATTCTTAAAGAGTTGGACATGACTGAGCGACTAAGCAAAGTGCAGCATATATACATATATTCGTATATATGTATCTGTCTATATAAATATATTCATCTGATTCATTAACATTGAACTCATGACTGACAGCAGTGTAACTCATTCCTGAATGAAGCCTACTAAACACCCTATTTTCTGTGTAAGGCACATCACAGACTTCTTGCTTTTAGGGACACTAGACAGCACTTCAGCTCTACACTCAGAGGCCATTTTAAATATCAAAATAAAAGCTCCAACCAAAAATGTCTGCTTTCTCAAGACATGGGACCAGGAAGGAAGAAGCCGCAGTTCAATTCAGTTGCTCGGTCATGTCCAACCCTTTGCAACCCCATGGACCGCAGCACTCCAGGCCTCCCTGTCCATCACCAATTCCTGGAGTTTACCCAAACTCATGTCCATTGTGTCGCTGATGCCATCCAACCATCTCATCCTCTGTCATCCCCTTCTCCTCCCACCTTCAATCTTTCCCAACATCAGGGTCTTTTCAAATGAGTCAGCTCTTTGCAACAGGTAGCCAAAATATTGAAGTTTTGGCTTCAACATCAGTCCTTCCAATGAACACCCAGGACTGATCTCCTTTAGGATGGACTAGTTGGATCTCCTTGCAGTCCAAGGGACTCTCAAGAGTCTTCTCCAACACCACAGGTCAAAAGCATCAATTCTTCGGCACTCAGCTTTCTTTATAGTCCAACTGTAACATCCATATATGACTACTGGAAAAACCATAGCCTTGACTAGATGGACCTTTGCTGACAAAGTAATGTCTCTGCTTTTTAATAGGAAGCAGCCTAGCAAGACAGAAAAGTTGCGACAATAGTAGTTCTATACTAGCCAAGCAGCACAGGAAAAACTGTTGCTTGACCTCCACCCACACCAGCAAAGGCCAAGTAGGATCCTAGATGCCCACTGCTGCCAGGCTGTAACAAGCACCTTCGTCCCTCTTCCCCAGAAAGAGAAGGTCTCAAGTAGGGAGCTAGGTTTTCACTACCAGCGGACAGTGATGAGAACTAGAACTCCACCTGGCCTGGTTTAAATAGAGACCATGTGGGCAGCCTGCACCTGTAGCCCCACACAGCAGTCAGAGGTCACCCAGGAGATCCTTGACAAAATTTCATAAGTAACTCTATAAAGCCTTTCCAATAAATGGTCCTGAAGCAACCAGACACCCATAGGCCCCAGTAAGAGAAAAGAGAAACTTAGCTTATCCCACTCCTCATGTAAAAATGACCTCAGAGTGGATCATAGACCTCAATGAAAAATAGAAAGCTTTTAGGAAAACAAAATAAATGAAAGTTTTCGGATTTAGAACTAAGCAGAGAGTTTTTAAACTTGACACAAAACACATTACCCATAAAAAATGGTGAATTCAGCTTCCTTGAGATTAAAAACCTTTGTTCTTTAAATGTGCTATAGAGAGGAATGACAGATGAACTACAGTGAGAAGTTTGTGAGGCAAAAGAGCATACAGAAAACCCACCAGCATGTCTTTTCTTGGACCTTGAGGTCCCTCGACTGTTTGCTTTCTGCTTCACCTTTGAGAATCTCCTTTTGTTTGTTTTCTATACACTGTCTAGAACTTTTGGCTATGGTTAGTGAGAATAGGGAAAAATATGTCTATTCCATATTTCCTGGAAGCAGAAGGTATGACAGATCTTTTTCCTTCTTTCTTTTGGGGCTTCCTTGGTGGCTCAGAGGGTAAAGTCTGCCTGCAATGCAGGAGACCTCATTTTACAGATCCAAAACAAGCTAGAGAAGATGTGTGATGTCCTCAGAGTCACGCAGTTCTCACGTGATGTCACCCAGACTGCACAAGTGCGGTGCCTGTGTTCCCTGCTCACAGGATCCTTGGATCACCGTGCACACGTGAATGCGTCACCAGGGCCCTTCTCTGACTGTATTCACAGTGCAACGGGCTCAATAGCAGAATAGCTCCCAGCTGTGTGTTCAGTGAGCCGTGAGAAACTGATGTGTGCTCATGATCTATTTTACTTCTATTTCAGTTTGTTTTATTCCAAGTCTTTTACCCAATGGGTTTGAAAACAGTGGAAGGGGAGGACAATGAAGAGGCCAGACATGTTCTTGCAAATGAGAGACTCATTAACTGCGCGGTATAGAACTTCAAAACGTGCTTCTGCACACGTGGCAGAGGAGGGCAGATACGAGTCTCCTGACAGCATGGGAACCTGCTCGACATCCTGCAATGACCGAATCTAGAAATGGGGGTGACGTGATAAAACCCAAAGCGCAGAAATACACTGGGGACATTGTTTGCCTATACCCCCAGGATTAGCAGCTCAGCTGCTGTGTTTCTAAAGGAAATATTTGTGTTGCAATGTGATAGCAGTTCAGTTTTTGTATGGATTGTCCATCATGCACTCAACTCCTATTTTCTGTAAAATGGACTTTTTCGCCTAGAGAAAAGCCATCTCTCATAACATACCTGCGGCATATGACTTATTGCTCCCTTGTTCCTATTTCTATTACCACCAACTTTTTCTGTGTCTCATAGGATCCTCAGATGTACTTAACTTCCTGTCTCCATCTTGGCCCGTCTCACCCCTCCCTGACAGTGCTGGCAAAATAAATCTCTCTCTGATGCTAGACATGCATGCCGTCCAGAAACTAGCCTGTTGCTTACAGTCTTTAGGATTAAGTCTAGGTGTTTATAGAAGCAGGCAATAATAAGAAGCCTGGTATTCAGCAGCCTGTCCTCTGTTCTTTTCTTAGGTATTATCAGATCCGAGTGACCTTGAAGGTGTCCTCAAGGATCCCCCACAGACTGAGTGCCTCCATCGCTGGGCAGACAGGTGAGCAGGAGGATGCCAGTGGGGCACTTGCTGCCCACTGGTAAGCCTTCCTTTATCACTGCAAACCAGAGCTTAGCAGGGTGCAGGGTACACAGAGGCATTCAGCGAACCATTGCTGATTGTTGAATAAGTGGATTTTGGAAATGGAGACCCACTGTTGCTTTGGCCCTGTGTTATTGCAAGGGGGACCTGGATAAAACAAAACAAAACAAAACAAAACACTCTCCTAGGAGCAGCTGGTATCTGAGGATAATCCTGGCTGTGAGTTCATGCTCAGTCGCTCAGGTGTGTCTGACTCTTCGTGACTCCATGGACTGTAGCCCGCCAGGCTCCTCTGTCCATGGATTGTTCTGAGCAAGAATACTGGAGTGGGTTACCATTTCCTCCTCCAAGGGGTCTTCTTGACCCAGGGATCTCTTGGGTCTCCTGCATTTGCAGGTGGACTCTTTACCACTGAGACACCTGGGAAGCCCCAAACCCGGCTGTAAAGGTTGGCTAAAGTCAAATCAGGGAGGAAGATGGGAAATGGCATCCAGCTGGTTGGAAGAAGAAGCCTCTTGGGGTTAATAATCAGCTCGGCGAACGGGACCGAGTCAGTAGGCAGGTGTGGTAGCACTTTCTCTGCACGACAAGGAGTCAGATGCGGTACTCCTCGGGAAGAAGGGTTGCCAAGGACAATCCAGGTTCTCACCTTGGAGCATCACTAAGGTATCCCAGGCTGCCAGCAGGTTCAGTGGGATAGCGTTTAGTCAGAAATACAGAACTTATTACGTAAAAAGTAAAGCTAGACATCAGGATTATATTCTGGCAGAAGTATTTGCATTAGTAAGTTTGGGAGAATGTAGAGATCAACCAGACCTTAAGAAGAAGGAGACATACTTTGGCTGTAGACATCAGGATTATATTCTGGCAGAAATGTTTGCATTAGTAAGTTTGGGAGAATGTATAGATCAACCATACCTTAAGAAGAAGGAGACATACTTTGGAATGGAAGAGAGAGAAGGTAAGGAGACAAAAAGACAGAACCGTGTAAAGGCTGCTTAACTTTCACTCTACAAGGTAGCCAAGAATATTGTAGAAATCAAATTCAGGAAGGTCAAGCATTCTGGTCATTCATAGCTACATTTCCAAAAATGGATTTTGGGCTGCTTGGGCAATTCTATCACCCCACTGTCGACAGTGATATTATGGCGAGTAGAGTTGTGTGCAGTTGATGACTGCAAAGTTACTGCAGATGCGGTGGTCTGTTTAGCTCCTCCTTGGGGGGGGGGGTGTGGGAGGCGCAGGGCAGAGGGAGCTTACATGGACCATGCAAGGGAGAAGCCGGGGAGGCCGATGGTTTATGGGCAACAGGCTGGCTGGGGCCTGTGATCCAGAAAGAGAAAGACCCTGGAGACCGCTGGCTTCTCCTCTGACTCTGCAGAGTTAAGCAGTAGGTAGTAGTCAGGCCCCCACATTTCCAAGGAGGCCCTTCTCCTCCAGTCTTCACTCCTGCTTTCTCCAGGGAATAGGTCAGGTGTCTGAGACTGGAGGCCACCCCTCTCCTGTGCCCTGTGCTCATTCGGTGCCTGCAGGCTCCCGCTGTGCTATCACCTGTATGGTGCCTCCTCCCACCCCAGCTTCTGCCAGGAGGAGCTGCATGGAGCTGACTGAGGAAGTAGGACGTTTGATCCCTGATGCTCCGTGAACTAGTCACATGATCCCAGGCTTTGACGACCTGAGCTTCATTTCCTCACCTGAAACATGAGGATAAATACCCGTCCTCTGTAGGGCTTTGTCTTACACATTGTATGTCTTTTTTTGTTTCTTTGAGCCCTGTCTTTTCTTCTTGGTGAGCCTGGCCAGAGGTTTGTGCATTTTGTTTACCCTTTCAGAGAACCAAATCTTGGTCTTACTGATTTTTAAAAAATCTCTATTTTGCTTACTTCCTCACTGATATTTATTATCTAGTTTCTTCTGCTAATTTTTGGTTTTCTTTGTTCTTCTTTTTTCTAATTCTTTTAGGTGGTGGGTTAGGTTGTTTGATATTTTTATTCTTTCTTAAGTAAGGCCTATATTGCTATGAATGTCCCTCTAAGAACTGCTTTTGCTGCATCCCATCGATTTTGTATGGTTGTATATCTTAGAGATTATACATGTAAAGGGCATTTTTCATGTTATAGAGGTTATTAAAGGAAATGTCCCAAGTCAGAAACAGAACCTTTTGCAAAAAACGTTTAAATTATTTTTTGAAACTTTTTTGAAAATTATTATTAATTGGAAGATAACTGCTTTAAAATAGAAATAGGAAAAACTCATTGTGCCTAGCAAGGCAGAATTCAGGAGTGGTATAGGCCACACATTCCAGAATTTCCAAGTTCAAATCCTGCTTCTGACACTTCTCAGCCTTGTGGACTTAGAAAAGTTATTTTGCCTGTTAAGTTTTTTGAATTCTTCACCTATAAAGTTGGCTGGTAGAAACGAGGCCCCAAACTCATAGGTTTGTGTTAAGGTTTGAATGAATTATGCAAGGAAATGTCTAGAATGTTCGTGACCCATAGTAAGCTCACAATAACCACCAGCAAGAGTAAGTGACGCTGTTACATGTTCAGAAGTTGTTGACTTAGTAGCATCTGCCACAGGTTGTGTTGTGGAACACACCCCTGGGGATGAGAAGATGCTTTCCTGCTCTGGAGGCTTCCAGTCTTCATGGGGAGACAGAAGTGTCACAGTAATTAATACAGTATAGGTGGGGGCTGAGATGAGATTTTTCTCTCAAAGGCACAGCCAGATGAATCAAAAGCATTAGGAAGCCATAAACCCAATGCAGTTCACACAGAAGATGTTGCCTCATAAATTAAGGTGCAGAATTATACATTCTTGTTGTCTTTGAAAATATGTTCCTTCTCTGGTAGCCATATGATATGGAAATGCACTTTAATTATGCAGGTGATTTAGGTTCTATTTCTCTGGATGGGACTTACTTTCTCATTGGGTTTTCCAAGGTAGGTGTTTATGATTTCATTTTGTGAATAAGAAAAAAAAAATAGTAACTTCCCCTGGGAAATGTAGCCTTAATTGATATACTACAGTGTTTCTTTTTTTAGTACTTTTTAAAAAGGTGACTTGGGAAAAGTTGCTATGGTAAATGGATGGTTCCTTCTTGTCTGAGTTAGCAACGTATCTTGTGAGATAGACTAGGACGGTCTCAGAGCTTGAACCAGGTAAGAGTTATCCTCTGCAGGCCTTCTAGAAAGACCCCCACATTACAGAAGGGACACGCGTGTAAAGAGCTGAATGTGCCCCGACAGTGACAGTGCATTCATCTGCTCATTGCACGTGGTCCAGGGTGTCAGGGGAACTCGATCTCTGTGGATGTGGACGTGTGGATGGTTTGGGCTTAGCGGTCAGTATGATTCTAAAAGCCACTGGATCTTGGTCATCACCAAAAATATAAAAGTATAAATTGTAGGTGATCCTCTAATGCTCAACCGAGGCCAGATACCTCTGGCTCTTCCAAAACTTTTCAGATTCCTCCTATAAGCCAAAATCCTAACGTTGAGAGATACAGAGATGACTAATGGTGAATAAAAACATGAGGGTTACAATGTTCCAGGAAGAGAAACCAGAAGTAAAAAAATTTTTTTTGTTGTTTTTAATGTGATTCTGCCTGATTTGAAGGCTTGCGTTTTGTGGGTTTCACAGATTTATTTTCTGAGTTCAGGGTTACAGGTAATTGTGTCTGTGAATGAATGTTATGTATACTTACCCTTGGCTGTTTCCTTTCACCCAAGTGATGCTATTTAATAGGTTTTGCAACCCTTCCTACCTGGAGATGTCAAAAAATATTATTTTCTCTTAGGGGGATGATCAATTAAGTCATACGGGGGAGGGACACTGCTTAAACGAACCGAGGCTGTGTTAAGTGGTTCGGCACAAACAGACATCTGCTAGTCACTGCTCATCAAAGCAAGAGAAAGGATGAGCAGTAAATTGTGGAAGCGTGAAAAAATTGCCATGATTAGTTTTAGTAATGTTTTGAGAGGTAATTTACATTTTCATTAAGTGAAAGCTTTTAAGAGTTTCACCGTGTAGGGGGTGGGGAGAGACATTTATTCTTCAAATGAATCAAACTAATTTCTTTTCAGGGCCCATTAAAGTGCAGCTAAATATCAAATGTGCCTGTTTTCATGGAGAGTATTAATCAGGTAAAAAGCGCCCCAGCCCCTAGGCACTGAGAGTCCTCCTGGGGTCAGAGGAGGGCGCTGCTCAAGAAGGCTGTCGAAAAGGACGTGTCTGGGGGTGTCCAGACCCGAAGGATGTTGTCACCTCTGCTCCTCACAAAAGTCATCTTGGAAAGTCTGAAACCAGGGCCCCTTACCTTGGGCTCCCAGTGTAGACTGTGAATCTGCTCTGCCAGCTGGTTCAGTGATCAGCTCCCTGGGGGTCCAAGCCAGAATTGTTGTCCATCTTTGTCCTTGAGATCAAATCTTAAAGTCTGCTCAACCTCCAAGGTCCCTCTTTGGGAAGATTTCTTCAGTCTCTTGTACCCTGGTTTCATCTCTCACTGCTTCGACTTAATGGGCTTGCCAGGTGGCTCAGTGATAAGGAATCTGCCTGTCAGTGCAGGAGACGCAGGTTCGATCCCTGGGCCAGGGAGATCCCCTGGAGGAGGAGATGGCAACCCCCTCCATTATTCTTGCTCGGAAAATCTAATGCACTGAGGAGCCTGGGCTGCAGTCTACAGAGGTTGCAAAGTTGGACACAACTGAGCGACTGAACACACACACACACACACACACACAAACACACACACACACACACACACACACACACACACACACACCCCTGCCTGTCCCTTTCTTCCTCACCTTCCACCCCTCTAGTCCACTCGGGTGGCAGAAAGGATTTGTGCTGGTTCTCCCAGTGATCCCTGCCCCTGTGAGAATCCCTCATTCCCTGTCTGAATGTCCTCACTGCCTGAACACACGCGGCGTGTGTTGCTCACCATCTCGTGCGAT